AAGGAATTATTCTGATAAAACATTATGAGATACGTGTTTCATACATGTTTGAAAATGGAAGATGCAAGAGAAATTTACTAGATTTTTATAATATTTAACATGAGTGTTATGGCATGTGTAATAAATATGTGTTAGAACATGAATAAAAATGGGGAAAGGGGAGTCTCTTTAGCTTGCATTTATCATAAAAATAGTTGTTTGTATCAAGAACTAACTTTAAGAAGTACAGGCCAAACAGAATGAATTAAAGGAAAACATTAAAGTGAGCTTGTAAATAAATTTAACTTTCGATACATCTTGCTAAAAATTCAATTTAGTTAAGGAAGAGTTAATGCTACATAACTTCTAGGTTAATTGTACGCTGTGTTAGAAAATGGATTTAGTACGATTACCGTCGCTCGAGATGTCATATCAGGGAAGAACGCCTTTGGATTCGGCCTTCTTCCATCAAGAAGACCTTGTGGTGCCTTTAGTCTCTACGAGCACTTATAATGAAGTACTAGGCATTGTTTATGCCACGTAGGCTTGGTGCATTTTGGAAAGGAATTGTGCCTGTGATCAGAAAGAAGAGGCTGGAATAAATGGAGTTACCCTTCTTGCAGAGGAGAGGAATTGGAGTTACCCTTTACCTTCTAGTTCTTTAAATTTAATTATTAGGAATTAGCGAAATACTTATATTAAATAGTACTTGACTTTCTCTGAACATTTCTGAAAAGGAATAAAATTTTTTTTTTTTTTTTTTTTTTAAAGTATTATTTAAAACTTGTAACTGAGTTCTTATAAAATGTAAGGGGAATAATTCTTTTAATTAATCTTATCAGATTTTTTTTTACCCTTCATTTCAATAATACATATTCCAAAACTCTTTATTACGTTCTTAAGTGCGCATCTCATAGCATTTGCTTTACAATACCTTTTAACAGATTGCTTTCCAATACGAACAATTCTTGCTTAAATAGTTTTATAACGTATTTGTCAACAGGATTTCAATTTATGTTTACAATTCAATATTAAGGTTATTATATATTTAGATAACATTTATAATCATTATAAATTAGATACATTTAATCATTAGATTTCTTCACAGTACTTTCACAGTTGTTTATAAGTGAATAAAACTTCATTTCAAATACATTTATAAAATTTAATGAATATTTAAGTATTTTGTCAAAGGCAGATTCATGCTTTTTGCAAGCACATGCATAAATACCCATACATATTTCCTATTTTTCATTTCCGGCATGTGCAAATCTTTAATTTCTGTGCATTCACTATATTTTTCGTGTAAAGTAATTTACACTAATTTAGCAGACACCCAAAAGTTTGACATAAAAAATATATATGAATATAATTTGAATGAAAATTATAAGTATTATTTTTAATACCCAATCAAAGGTCAGTTTTTTTTTCAAAATTCCTTCACGATGGCATCTCTCTCTTAGACAGATAGCCCTTGCATGCGTTACTCTATTTAATAAAAACTTAATCTGACCTATGTGCCTAATTACAAATATTTTAACATACATAATTTTATATTTATAAAACTGTAAGCCCAAAGTGATATTTTTCAGATATTAAAATTAAAACGATGGGTTTAAAATGAGCAGCAGTAAAGCCTCTCCTCTAAAAATTTTTAAAAGCTACATGTTACAATAATATATGGACGTGAAAAAAAAATTGTTTTATTTAAAACATTTTGACGTTTGGAACATAAAATAAAAGTAGCGAATACTCTATCAAGGGTATCGAAAGATGTATACAATTTTAAATGTACCGTAAAGTATTTTTCATTCTTTAAGCATAACATTTTTCTTAAAATCTATATTTTTGTAGTGCAACAGCTTATAATTTTATAAAAGAAATTCATAATCAAAATCGCTGTTGTTAGTTATCGAAAAATAACCAAGATGTAATTTTTGCGTAAATGTCACTAAACTATACAAATTGCTATTATCCATCACACTATGAATGTTTCTTTCATGCGAAAGTGTCCCTTTTTCGATTTCTATGGAACTGTCGTGTGTTGAAATACTATCAGAATCTTGTCAAGAGAGCTTCTGAATGTAAACAAAGAACACCCCAGCTGGTGACCGAAGCTTCAAAGCAGTGCTTCACTTTTAGCGCGGGTTGGCCGCTCCTCCCTTTCCTACCTCCATGGTAGTAACAGAGGGGAAACCATTACTGTAGATATAGTTTTCTTAATCCACATAGAGATATTTATTTCACCATTTCCTGATAATCAGGCGCAGCACAAATGTATCGCTACGTTACGATATTGTTATATTTATATGAGCGACAAACCAATTCCATATATAGTCCGTCTATAAAGTTGCAAGACTAAATTCGTTTTAAACTGAAAATTCAAATTGGATTTCCACCAAAGCTCTTACTTTAGACTTTAACATAAAATGCTTGACATATTCATATTCCTGCTTCATTACTTTGTAGAACTTATCTTTGGGAATATTGTTTAAGTGTCTGGTATAGAGATGGACTGTCCACTCCGGAACCGATTCAAAAAACCAATTCACTTTACTAAACGATTGATCAACGCTCCGGTGAAAACAACACGGCAGTTCTTTCAGAGCTCACCGAGAGCTATTGTTGAGAGGCGTGCCAAAAAATGTTTCATTTCTTTTAATGTAAACAGTAGCATTCTTTCCTTTATGATTGACCAGAAACTCACTGACCTATTTTTGATGTGTGTATGTGTGTTATATATGTGTATATGTGTGCTTCTGTTCTATCTAGTATCGCCCAAAAAACAAAACATTAAATACACCTACGCATCTCAGCAAAACTGACCATCCCCGTTTAAAATTGGATGGAGATTTTTTTCAATTCTGGCAGTGCAAAGATCTGTTTAAAATACCTAGATTATAGGAATTAATTCCTCGGATTCCAAGCTGTCTGCGCTCCGGCGCTAGTCTCTGATCTGTGTCTTTCGGAGTCGTGATCATTCATTCTTTCATCGCTCCTGCTCTAGCCGGCAGCTGATCCGATTCCTGCGGAGTGTTATTTATTTGCTCTTTTTGCTTCCTCGGAACTGTTTCATTTCCATTCTTTGAATAGTGTGTCATATTACAACTATGTATGTTAGGTATTACCTTTTTTATACAATATTACTGTAATATTTATGTAAAATAATAAATTACATTTTTATTTATTTACTTATTTTACTAACGTCTTGTAATTAAGAGCTGCGAATTTCTCTTTAATTAGAATTAGTGTATGTTTATAAACATAAATTTTTCCATCTAACGTATTTTTTCAAAGTTGCAGAACAAAATGTGGACCCCACCGAATAGAACCTCGAGCGATATTTGGTATCATTTTGTCAAACTAGGTTAAAAAAAAAAAAAAAAAAAAAAAAGAAAGAAAAAGAAAAATACCGGTTTTGTGAGCTGACAACTTCCTGTTCTTTGGAATCTGCTCCAATCTAAAAATTTATTTATACACTGTGCTTTGTAGTAGCGACGAAATATCAATTATAGTAATAACATAATCAATTATAGTAATCTTTAACAAAAGTGAGTTTAGTTCTCATTATTTGTTAACAATTTTTATTGTTGTTATATGTAGAAAGGTTTTTTTAGGAAATCTCAAAAATACTATTGAAAGAAATTAGTCCAGGGAGTGAGTGGTTTGGCTGAGTTGATTCCAGGGATCCCCCTCCTTGTTCAATTCTTTCTGCTTTACTCCCATTTTTCCACACCGCTCTTGCTCCCCGCCTGTTCCGAGCGCATTCATCAAGGTTATTGTTAGTGAGCAGTGAATCGTTAAAAGAACTGATTCACTTCAGTTAGCGAATGGTTCCGATCTGATCTATTAAAGGAGCGGTTTTGCTCATCCCTACGCTGGCCACAGTTTTTTAATCTCTTCGGTGCTATTAAAAAGATAACCACTAAAGTAAGATTTAACTTTAGAAGTGCCAAATTTGAGGAAAGGTCGGGTGGAGTAGGATAAGGATTTTGTAAAACATTTCTTTCTCAGATATTAATAATTCGGTTGAGCATTTTTAGGTCTAATGCTCTGAATTCTCTTCAGAAGTAGCCCCTGGCTCCGAGGAGTAAAATCGCTAAACATTGATAGTTCGACTCATTTAGAACGCATTGGCTGTATGGGGAGGTGCTATAGTTTTCCTCATCTATAGCACCTCCCCATACAGCCAATCCAGGCTGAATGGGAATGTGCCAATCCAGGCTGAATACGAGGCAGTTTCCATTAAAAAATTCTTCACGGAGGTATCCTTCCTTTAACCAGATAATTCTCGTGTGCTCTGCCGTATTCAAATAGCCTAATCAAGCTTTTGCTGAAGCCTGTCTGTTATGTTCATATAAAAATGCTGTTCACCGTATGTCTCTACAGAAAAAACATTCTTCGTAAATTATCCTTTTTCAAACAGAAAAGTCACCAGTATGATTTTTACTCTAGAGTTTTGAAATCAAAATTTCTGTTAAGCGGCATTGATGAACTTTCTTCAGCTCAAGCGCTTTGACTCGGAAGCATCAGCAAAGCGCCAAATTTCATTTCTAATCACAATTTGTACACAAAAGATTAGGTGTAAATTACGATTTGTATCAAAATTTTATTGCTAATCTTTGCTTAGCCTTTAAGTCCATGATAGCTGATGTTCAACAAATCAAAGGAAACAATTAACTATACTGAAAGTTCTATCAGTAGGAAGGCAATATTTTAAGAATAGCAAGTTGAAGATGTCACAGTAATTATTGTTGTCGGCAAGTTTGCTTAAATTTGTTAAAAAAATACTCCTGAAACTTTGTAGACCAGTTACACATAGGCTAAGATATGACAATGTGTATACCAGTTACAAGGCTAAGATATGACAGAATAACAAGCAATAGATATTTCGAAAGAAATATTTCGAAGAAATAGAAACAAGAGATATTTCGAAGGATAAAAAGTAAGCTTTGTACACAAATATTAAACATCTCATGTCTTTCGTAATTATACGCAAATTAAAGGTAAAGGGTACTTACAAGCTGGATGGATTCTTTCGCCACATGTGACTTCTTGTTCAGGTTCGCAGGATTGCCATTTACGATCGAAGAGTTTTCCTTCTGGACAGTGATGGAGCTTATACTTGTACTTTTTGCAGACGTAAAATGCTCCGCAGTTTTTGGGATGAGTAAATTTACCATTCTTAGAAGGACATACAAATTCACGAATCCTTGGTGTGATGGTTTTATCATCTGAAAGAGAATGAATTATTTAATGAAACTGTTTGTAAAATTTTTAATGAAACCTAAAACGTCAGACCAGACATCATAACTAAGTAACCATATTTGCTCATGAAAGAGTAGTTTTTTCTAAAGTGCATTAAAAATTTTGAACAGAAATAATTAATTTCACTTTCTTATGATTTAATTTAATAAATTCAGTGTTCTCATTGTTCACCAAGAATTATATTGCGAATTAAACGGAAGCAAAACCAACAAATGATCTCTCCGTCTTTTAGGAGGTGTTAATTTCAATCTAATACATTCTGAATCCATTGGGTGATCATAAAATAACTTTTGTTTTGTATTCATTCCCTAGGTTACCGCATGACTCAACGGATTGAATTAGAATTCGAGATATTCGAGGACAGCTTTAAAACATGTTTACAGTCGTCGAAGATCTACTAACACTCGCTGGAACAATCAACGACACAGCCTTCAGGCTATCAGGCTATCATGGTGAACACAGCTTCATTGCAAAGCACCAGAGTACAGCTCCCGACTTTGCTTGGTCGTTCTCAGAACTCCACGTACTCTCGAGACTCTCCATGCTACAACTCGCGATGCACTCGATGACAGACAGAGCACAGCTCCCGACATTTCGGTTCAGTCGTTCCCGTAGCTCAACATGCTCTCTCGACGGTACACTCGACCCACTCAGCACTCGCTGCCCGGCTGTCAGCTCGATCGACTCCACAGGGATTCACTCGCTAGACGAGATACCAAGTCGATAGGCTCGCACTCTCGACGAGGCACACACACTCGCCCTCTCGACGAACTGACTGTGGACCAGCACGGTTTATATAGCTTTCGGCTTGTGCGCGAGAACATTCTGGGCTAAACCGGTAAGAATTCGTTCCAGACAGTTCTCCATCCGTCCATGGTATATCGCTAAGTGTCGCCAAATGGGCGATTTCTCGCCAAATGTGGCAACCCTAAAACTGCTTTGCGGGTAAGCTATCTCACCGCGCACAGACATTTTGTAACAAAATGATATCTAGATGAGATATACATGATGTATCACGATCGATAGTAGCCGCTAGGACTGTTTGATTGATGTCTGTGAGTTTCTGCTTCGTACTGTATTCACTTTCATACTGTATTCACTTTCATTGTGCAAATTGTGTGCATTCGCATGGCTACACTTGTGATTAATACTTGTGACTTTCTGCATCGTATAATTTACGGAAGCTTATTATTATTAGGACAATTATAATTAGGACATGCTAAAGCATACATGCTCTGTTTTCCCTAGAAATTATGTAACGTGCAATTGTGTAACGTGCTATCTGCAATAATGCATTTGTTAAATAGAATGGATAGGTGCAGTCCGAGAAGCAAAGATTTCATGATTTTATTTCCTTCTTTTACTTATTATAGTTTGATAAAAGGAATGGAATTTATATAATGTAAACAATAAAAGATTGCGTTGACAATATCACTATTCATTTCACTAAATCAGATAATAAAAGCGTTTTTTTTGAATAGTCTCCGACATGCATTTGAAATCTTTACTGGACTGTTGACAGTTGACAAGATGCCAACGAGTATTGCCCTATTCATAATCGGACCTTTTAATACATGAAAATGTATGCATGTTTGCTTATTTTAACCTTAGCTACTTATCTAATGCTTTTCGCTGTCATAACCAAAGAGTTTAGGATAAATTGCAGATGAAAACAATCTTTACAAGCTCATTAAAAACACTGTAGATGAGAAGTAAAAATAAATATTTATTTATTGCATGTAATATGTGGTACATGTTGTAGACTATACATAAGTAGACAGAGGATTTGATATCTTGATGATATTACTATAGAATATGTTAGTTAATATTATTATGGAATACATTATACTCAAGAGGTTCGCTGTCAGAGCAGTTCTATTCGAAATTCAGAGTATTACTACCGAGTCCCTTTTGTCATAATATCGTTTGGAAAATGTGCATTTGCTGCACATTCCTGAAAACAACAGTAGGATGGACATTCTGAATACAAGAGTAGAATTTTGGTTTCTATAATAGACTAGACTTTGTGTCACTTTAGATAGTTGTTCTGTAAAAACATTGTCGGTGTAAAACCATTTTGATTGCGGAGAAAGCAAGCTTGAAAGAAGACAAATTCAATAACTAAGGTAATTTTGGCGAGATCGGAATTTATTTGTAAACAAACCAACTCAAACTTCCTTGCGTAACCTATACTCAAAATAAGACAGCACTAAAAAATGAATGAAAGATGCTATAACTCCGCTTACTTTAAAATACAAATTAGATTGTCTCGCATGATATCATCTCATATTTTTTCCTCTAGAAATTAAACTGGCGTCCTTTAATAGCCAAATTCAAACACTATAAATTTCACATAGATTTTCCTTCACTAACTTTTGAACATGTGAGTGTTAGATATTTATGAATCATATCTGTGTATGCAGTGTAAAATATTTTAATATATTGACAGTATGTATGTTTGCATTACATACAATTTAATATATTTATAGTACGTATCAGATTAACACATACCTTCCTTAGGTTTTCTTCTACCACAGTCTACATTGTTATAGCAGATATTGCGAATGCTGTCATAATATTGACTGCTGTGACAGAAACGTACGCTAGGCGTGTTATCTTTGCAGTGGTAATACCAGTTGCAGATTTCTTCATGAGTGAAACGCCCATGCCTTTTGGGGCATGTGTAGCTCGGATTGTCGTCAATGATATTGTATTCGCTATCCGAATCATCTGAAAGAGGAAATTAATTAATGATATGAAAAACTGAAGGGTTGTCAAAATGATTATATAATATTATTAAAATTAAAAGCATAGTCAAAATTAAACTATTTATAATGAAGTGCAGTTTTAAACCCCCATTGCAATTTCTCTAAATTTTAGCTGCCAAAATAGGATGGAAAAATAAACAATCCCAAAGGCCTTAAAAAGGAATGGCCAGCGTTAAAAATAATTTCCGTTCCCTTAAAAAAAAAAAAGTCAATCATTCAGAAAAAAAACGAAGACGATATGGATGTTCAAGTCATCAGTTCTCAGAAAAAAAACCGCTAATAGAATACCTCCTATAATCATTTCGGACGTAAACGATTGGAAAAAACTCCGCGATGAAATTAAAAAACTAACTTCCCAAATGGAATGCAACTTTAAAGGCACTGATATACACATCAAAGTTAAAAGTTCAGATGATTACAGATTAATCACTAAATTCTTAGATGATAAAACTATCTCGTATCACACATTTCCTCTGCCAACTGAAAAACCCATACGCGCTGTGATTAAAAAAACTCCCAGCACACACTAAAACAGAAGACATCTTTGAAGCGTTAACTGAAAAAGGAATCACAGTTAAAGCTGTTAAGCAGTTCACCAAGAAAATTAATGGCGAAATTGTCAAAATGCCCACCTTTTTAGTGGAAGTAAAAAGAAGCATTGAAGGGAAAAATATTTATAAAATTACACATATCCTAGATTTAGGAATTAAAGTTGTTAGCTTCAAAACTACGCCAGGTCCGACACAGTGTCACAACTGTCAAAGGTACGGTCATAGTAAAACGCACTGCAAGCTTAAAACGCGCTGCCTAAAATGCGGCCAAAATCATGCTACGTATACTTGTACTAAAGACAAAAAATCTACCTGGTACCTGTGCCCTTTGCGGAGGTCCGCATATAAGTTCTTATCGTGGGTGTGAAATGCACCCTGATAATATAAAAGAGAAGATAGCCCAGCAGAAATCAAGAGAAGAAAATCGTAATACCAGAAGAAATAACCCACCTCCACCTCCAAGGGACTTAGAAAATTTTCCGCCGCTTCCTACTCAAAATCAAACCCAAAATGTTGAAAATAATAACAACGAAAATAATACAAGTCAAACCAATCGGAACACCAGAAAGTTCAGGAGAAGCACAAAAACTCCGCCCCCGGATTCATATTATGGCTAAAAAACTTATTCAACCAAGGCCAAATTACTTTTCCAGAAATTTATGACAGCAAAATCACTAATTGACAAAATCCAAATCGGATTTGAAGCATTTGAACTCTTAAGCAATATGAACTATGAATTCTAATCCTTATATTAATGTTACTAGTTATCATATCACTGCCTCGAGTAGTTTAAATGTCGCATATTTTAACGCAAATGGTATAAAAAATAAAAATACCGAGATACTTAATTACATTAATCGTCATGATATTGATATTTTTCTCGCTAACGAAACTCATCTCAGAGCATGTGACAAATTTAAAATACAAGGATTTAGAACTTATCGTTCTGACCGCTCTCATAATAGAGGAGGCGGGACTTTGATTCTTGTTAAAAATTATCTTCGCTCCACTCCATTTAGCCTCAGCGGCAATACCAGCATCGAACACACAGCTATCATTGTGCACTCTCGTACCAACGAACCAGTGGTTTTTATCTCTGCCTACAATCCACCAAGGAACACCATCAGTGGTCACGATCTCATCAGCTTTAGCAACATCGCTTTTCCGGTTGTCATAGCCGGCGACCTTAATGCCAAACATAATTCATGGAACTCAAGAATCAGGAACACTAATGGTAACATACTCTATAGTTTCGCACTAAATAACGATCTCAGAATTTATGGCCCTACTGACCCTACCCGTTACCACCATACAGGTACAGCTGATGTTCTTGACATTGTCATTACGAAAAATATTCTTCAAATTCCATATCTTAAAGTCAATAATGAACTGAGTTCAGATCACCTTCCAGTCAATTTCACATTTTATGGATATGAAAGGTCACTCCCTCTCAAAAGCATCACTAACTGGACTAAATTTAAGGAAATTCCTTGAAACACTACCTGCACATCCGGTTTTAGCTGATATTTCACACATCGAAGAACAAATCACTAAAATCAACAGAAGAATTAACACTGCTATTATCAATTCTACTACTTTTAAAGAATATCAGAAGCCCAAATTACCTGACTACTTAATTGATAAAATCAAAGACAAAAATAGGACTGCCAAGCAATGGAGAAGGACGGCTGATCCTACTATTAAAAACCAATTAAATAGAAAAATCCGTGAAATTCAAAGAAGCTATTTCTGAATATAGGTCAAATTCTTGGGATGATCTCCTCGATTCCATGGACTTTAACCCAGGAACTGTCTGGAAAATTGCAAAAACACTCCGTAAAAAATCAAGACTATAATATTGGTCCTATTAACACTAATTATGGCATCGCCTACTCTGAAAAAGATATTGCAGAAGCTCTTGCTCGCCCATCTGGAAAATACTTTTACTAACAACAATTATTACAATTGAGGAAATAGAAGAGGATGTTTATAATTTTAATATTCACCTCCCGGACCGCATTGGTAATGAGCATATTAATCCCACCTCACCTAATGAAATTTATGACATCATCAAAAATCTAAAAGTCAGAAAAGCTCCGGGTTTCCGACGGGATTTCAAATAAAATTCCTAAAAATTCTGCCTAAAAGCTACATTGTTCCTAACTACTAATATCATAAATGCGTGTCTCAGGTTAAACTATTTTCCACAGCAGTGGAAACATGCAAATATTGTTACTTTCCTTAAACCGGGGAAAAATCCAAGAGAGCTTAACTCATATCGTCCAATTAGTCTGCTTCCTGGGCTGGGCAAAGTTTTCGAAAGGGTCATACAAACAAGACTTACAAAGCACCTTCAAGATAAAAATATCCATAAATAGTGAACAATTCGGCTTCAGAACTGGACACAGTACTGTTCATCAACTGCTTAATGTAACAGAGTATATCGCTGATTCATTCGTTAAAAAGAATACAATTGCAAGTTGTTTTTTGGACTTTTCAGACACATAAAGTAGATTCACATTATTCGAATCCGAATAACTTAATTCCCTGTTTGGGCCACCGTTTATAAAACCTACAGAAGAAGACTACAAATTTTTCAAAATAAAATTCTACGCGATATCATCAATGCGCCGTGGTTTGTCAGAAACTTACAGATTCATAAAGAATTGAAGATCCGGCCCGTTCCTGATGAGATACTCACTACAAGCGCGATATCATCAATGCGCCGTGGTTTGTCAGAAACTTACAGATTCATAAAGAATTGAAGATCCGGCCCGTTCCTGATGAGATACTCACTACAAGCCACAATTTCTTTCAAAAAATAGCTAACTCAAGATATGACCATATAAGGGAGCTAATTAATTATGATCCTACCCTTGAATGTGCTGCAAAAAAGGCCCAGAAGCATCTTCCATAATGTGAAGTGGTGAATTGTGAATAGTGTATATAAAAAATTTTATTATATGAGACTGTACAATATCCCACAGCATCGGACTTTGGATTAAAGCTCACTTATTCTTCGTATTTTCAACTACCTCAGATGAACATTGCGACATCCTAATGGATAATGGCATTGCTCTTTGGTAGCTTTTTATATTTTTTATGTTCAATTTGTTTTCTACTACTTATGATTGACTTTGCGACACCCAAATGAGTAATGGCTTAGCTCATAGGTATCTATCTAGCTTTTTTGTGTACATATTGTGTATATAGAGAAATTCACCACTTCGCGTTTTGAGAATAACAGCTACAGAGTACAAGACTAAAACCACTGTCTTGTTGGTTGATCAAGTGTTCTCTTGCTGTTTCATTGTGTATACATTTAATTTACTATGCTTTACAAGTATTGTGTGTCTTCAAGTGTGAATTCTTCATTTTCACTTTATTATTTGACTGTGCTTACCTGCAAGTACTGATTTCTTTTTCCACCGGAGTGTGAACTTTCAAGAAACATTGGCCGAGGTCAGTTTACGGGAGGGTGACTCCTGTCGTAACTGCCGCCGACCTACGACGTTTCAAGCCACACCCACTGGGTAGAACTCATTGCAATTCAGCCTGGCAAGTGCCATTTGATTTAAATTATGAAATTCAAAGTATTAGTGATTTAATTATGATTGTTCATCACTAGTTTACTACATAACTTAATATATTTTCATATTTTGTTGCCAGCTCTAACAGTTTCCCAGATGCACTTCTAAATTCTAAATTTCATTGTGTACTCATGTACTATTCTAGCTCCTCCTATAGAGGCGCGGCGGTTACCGCCTTATTCTCATTTTTCCAAGCCTTGACATGGCAATACCATGACAGGCAGTTAAAGCAGTGGGCTGCTAAATGCTGTCTAAATCAGATAACTGAACTGAACTGAAACGGTAGCAAGATAGAAAAATGTTCTTTATTTTTTAAACTAAATTGCGCTGTCTGCGGTGGTTATGTAATGAATTGTAGTTTTATTTCCTTTGTTGTTTGTTCGCTGCAAAAGCTTTTAAGAACGTATTTCGTAAGTTTGGTTTACAGCGTGTGCGAGGCTGATTCAAGACGTGATGTAAAATTGATAGAATTTTGAAGAAATTCTAAAATCACTATATGTGGATGCATTTTCGAGAATATACAGAAAAAAATGAACAGTTTGAAGATTTAAAAATTTTTGAAAACATTGACTTAGGCTTTAAATGTTGAATAATGTTTCACTCAGAAGCATAGTTCAATAGCCTCACCGGAAAGTTTTAACAGTTGAAGTATTTCAATTACTGTAAAGGTTTTTCTGCTAAACTCTCAAATGTTAAAATGTATTTTAAGGGTGTTACGTAATAACCTAGTTTTCTCTCCTTTTTTTGTCTTCACGAAAATCCATCTTACATCCTTTGTTGATTCGAACTGGTTCAAACACTTAGTGATCAGCAATTTCAACCTTTGGCTGCCGG